ATATTTAAACTCTTATTCATGAATTGCAAATTCATTGTCATTGAAAAAATTAAAATTATACAAAACATGAAATTATTGAACAAAAACATGTAAATTATTGATAAAATAACAAAAATAATTTAGGAAAAATCTTGTTAAATTACCTCAAACAAATTTGAAAATAAATGGCCATTGAACAAACAAACAAACAAACAAACAAATAAATGTTTGCTCCCCCCTAGTAAAAATAAACAATAGAAGACTATGCTTCGCAAAGCTAAATTTAAATCATAAACTCAGAAGCAAAAATGTTGCGGGGGGGGGGATTTTTCAACAAAATTGTACTCTTTGCATCTAATTTTGTTCTATTTTCAAGTCCGTTGAAATATTTCAAATTATAAACTTATCCATCCTTTTGCTCGGTGCAGATATCAAAAATTATTTTGTTTCGTGACTAGCTCTATTTTAGTTTTGGCTTTTCTTGGATTTTTAGGCAGTTTGTCTAGGCCTTAAGGCCATATTTATGTATATTAACTCACTGCCTAACTGGCTCATATTAGTTCATTTGTATATATTAAACGCATATCTATCTTTCACGTTTTAGGTCATTTTCTAAATTTTAAAATTTTATTTTTATTGATGAGGCTATGTAAGGTTCATCAAGCTTTGTTTTGATGGATAGATAAAGTGACAATTAATGATTAATTTCAAACATGGTCAGTTTGTGTCGAAAACAAATGAAACTCCGAAATTAAGATCAAGAAACCAAGATTTTTTAAAAAAAGTTTTAGCGCTAACAAAGATTAGATCCTAAAAATATTCCCAAAAGCAGATATTTGAAAAGAGTTGAGGGCAGGGGGGGTTGTAGAGTGGGGAAGGGGGGGGGGGTAGAAGCCCACCTAGTAATTTATTCCAAACCCTAAATATCGTTGAATTCCACAGTTCACATTGACGTAGTACCGGACGGAGAACGGACGTACAGAGAACGGACAGATATCGGACAGAGTACGGACATCTTTGTAATGAACATTGAAATGGACAGCAAACAGAAGTTGAAATGGACAGCAAACAGAAGTTGAAATGGACAGCAAACGGAAGTTGCAATAGACAGCAAACAGAAGTTGAAATGGACAGCAAACAGAAGTTGCAATAGACAGCAAACAGAAATTGAAATGGACAGCAAACAGAAGTTGAAATGGACAGCAAATTGAAACGATCATGGTGGTTCAAATCGAAATTACAGACTAAAAAAATCTTCAACGTCAAAAAACGTTAACCATCAACGCTCGAAACGTCAAACGTATCTTACATAAAAAAGACCACCTTTAGTTTTATAAATTGAAAATGAATAAATAAATGAATTCACATACATTTGATACATTCCAGAGAAAGATGTACAAAAGAATAGTTATGCTTGAGTGCGTATATATACGCGCGTAAACCGCCATTTCTGACGCAAAATGGCGTCATTATTATTTAATTATATGATTCAGGTTTGAGAGTGCAGCGAGCAACAATAGTATTTATGTTTCAATTTAGGAGAAGTGTAAATCATGAAAACTTGCGTAACAACTAGATACATTTGCGTAACAACTAGATATATTTGTGTCTATTGATAAAACAAATTTTCACCCTACCCTTTACAGGAGGATTCTATAAAAACAAAGTAGACACAAAAAGCATTAATATTTGAAGCTTGAACCCATACGCATTACGCAAACCACTTGATCACTATGCATGCGTTCAAATATAATTTGTCAAACATCCCCAGTATTGATTTGACGCATTTGCCAAGATTGATGTTGCGTATGAAATGCATACCTCTCTGCATGCGTATATGAATATTAAATATGCGTATTACGTACAGGTGAATATACGCCCTTCGCGTATGCATCATCCCGCTGAGAGAGATCCATATATAAAGGATAACAAGGATATTTATTTTCTCAAAAATATGTTTAAAATTTTTTTTTTTAGCAAATAGTAAGGAGAGGAGGCATGGAATTGAAATGAATGTCTTAATTTTTTCTTTTTTTTAATTGTTCCCTTATAGTTCAAAATTTTCCAAAAATAAAATTTCTTTAATGAAATGATTTAATCTTTTTTTAAAAATACATGTACATGAAGAAAAACGTTGAAGAAAAAAGACATTTCAAGATTTTTATTATTATTTTATACGCTTAAATATGTATATGGAAAACACAGGAAAAGATGTTGAATTTAACACGGTATGCAAAATTTACATGAAAAAGAATTTCGTTCAGAAGGAAAAAATGTCAGTAGGGGTTTGGATGAAGTTTATAGTAAAGTTAAATGTAATTTTTGTAAGATACATTATTAAACATTCTTAAAATTCTATAAAAATAATCTTTATTTTTGTTTTTTTTTAACATCTAATTCTACGATTTTTAGTTGATATTTTTGCATACATTTCTGCATATATTTTAGACACCCAATGGGCCTATATAAAAAATGTTAAACCCATGTATGGAAGGTTTTTGCTTGCAAACAAGGATGTAAAGAAGAAATAAAAATAGAATAGATAGATAGACAGATAGATAGATGGATGGATAGCTATCCTTAACATTGCAAAAAGCATGAAACATGATAGATAGATAGATCAAAGAAAGGCAGTTAGATAGATGTATAGATAATAGATAAGTTAAGATTGCATAAAGCATGAATTATAATGTTGATACAATAAAAATACTATTTATCAATGCTCAGATTTATAAATAGATAGATAGATAAATTGATAGATTGATATGTAGACATATAATTATTATTATGTATGTAGACTTATAGATTATTATTTTTCTTCTTTATATTTATAAATAGATGATTAGATAGATAGCTAGATAGATAGATATATAAAGATATCTATATAAAAATAGATAAATAGTTAGATAAATAGATAGATAGATAAACACATAGGGCCTATGTGCATGCATGTAAGGTACTATGTAGGCAGTAGGAATGCAAGAGGGTTCAGGCAGATGGGGGGGGGGGGGGTGGTTAAAGGTTTGAAGCTAGATAGATAGATAGATAAATATACAGATAGTTAGATAATAAGATAGCTAGTAAAGGAATGCAGGAGAGGAATTCAAGATTTGACTTGTTATTGACAGAGTGTAGAATCTAGAATAGATAGCTAGATAGATAGATAGATAGATAGATAGAAAGTTAGATAGATATAGATAGATAGAAAGATAGATAGATAGAAAGATAGATAGATAGATAGATAGATAGATAGATAGATAGATAGATAGATAGATAGAAAGATAGATAGATAGATAGATAGATAGATAGATAGATAGATAGATAGATAGATAGATAGATAGATAGATAGATAGATAGATAGATAGAACACAATTTAACATTGTCAAGATTCTCTTTTGGCTTTTCAGTTTCGTAAACCATGTTTTCAGCGTATAAAAATAAGAGATAAAATTTAGTTTTTTCAATCGTGTTATTTATACAATTTATCGTATTCTATATTCACAAATAATCCCAAAAAAATATCTAATACATATAATTTATTATTTTTCAAGTTGAACAATGTCATTCAAAAACAGATATAAATTAATAGATAAATAATTAATTAATTAATTTATTAAGTATAGTAATAAGTAAACCAATAATATTTTTGTTGGATTTGTTAAACATTTTGAATTCTTTCATATCTTAACCTCAAATGAGAAGAAAGTTGATTTGAAATTAAATTAAATTTAGAGGTGGTCTGAAAAAGGTTCAAAGCAAAACCTCCATATAGAACCTGCCATGCAAATAAAGGAATTTTTTATTAAATTGCAAATTTTCATATTAACAAATCTATTAAGTGAAATGAATTAATTCTTGTTCATAATTTTATAAATTTTTTCAGATGACATTTAAAGCAATTATATAGCTGTCAAATAGAGAAATAGAAAAATAGATAGATGAATAGATATATACAAAATAAGAATTGTTAAATAATTCATAATTGCATATACAAGATTAGATTAGATTATAAAACATTATAGTTTTTCAGTAGTTTTTTTGTAAGATAAAATAATTCATAGACGTGTAGATAGATAGAATAGATAGAATATATAGAATAGATAGAATAGATAGAATAGATAGAATAGATAGAATAGATAGAATAGATAGAATAGATAGAATATATAGAATAGATAGAATAGATAGAATAGATAGAATAGATAGAATAGATAGAATAGGTAGAATAGATAGAATATATAGAATAGATAGGATAGGTAGAATATATAGAATAGGTAGAATAGATAGAATAGATAAAATAGATAAAATAGATAAAATAGATAAAATAGATAGAAAAGATAGAATATATAGAATAGATAGAATATATAGAATAGATAGGATAGGTAGAATATATAGAATAGATAGAATAGATAAAATAGATAAAATAGATAAAATAGATAGAATAGATAGAATAGATAGAATAGAAAGACATATTTAAAGATAGATAGATAGATAAAGATTGATATTAGGTCAAAGAACATGAAACCTGAAGTGAAACAATGTGTTTAATCAAGATATATATATAAAGATAGATAAAAAGTTTTATAAAAATGGAATTATCTCAACTTAACTAGGAGGAAGAAGAAGGTCAACTCTATGCATAATGCACGGGCACCCGTAGTACATTTGAATTTCCGATCCGGGTCAACCTTTCCGGTCCCAGTTTGTACTGCACCGCACGGACATTGGGTTAATAAAGAAGACAATCAACAGGGCTAGCCGGTGCAACAAGGTTGACGCGGTCAGACTTTAGGTTTAATTTACTTTTACTAAAGGGTCAGGGGTGCGTGGGTTTTGTCACAAGTATAAAAAAATTGTAAATCTACGTCAGTTACATTAAAAAATATTCAAAATATTTGTGTTCCTCTCAATTGCTCTGTAATAAGAGTATTTATGATTGAAAACATGTAAGATTTACATCTTACATGGAATTTACTTTAGTTTGGCGTGACAAGAAGGATATAGATAGATAGATAGATAGATACCTGATGCCAATCCTCCTCTAGGCTGGCTTGACCGGAAAAGTATCCAGTATCATGAACCACCTGGAGCTCCCGAAAAATACCACCGCTTGGTAAAACGTCCATCCTGAGACCGGGATAAACGTCCAGGTAATAAAGACCCAGCGAGCACTAGGGGTCAACTCACTTTTCACCGGTCCAGGGTGTCCCTGGTTTGAAGGGTCATACACTCAATGTTAAACTCACACCCAACAGGTGGATTCCACTTGTCAACTAAAGGTGACAAATAATCAGAGAGAAATGTTATGTGGTTTCCTTTCGAAGGAAGAATTGTAACTGAAGTTTTCCACAGTGCGGAGCGCTCACACAGCTAGAGACATTAGACCGCATTCTGCAGTTTTCAGCCAATCAGAGACCAGCTTTCATCCTCTACTAGTAGTACACCGCTGTATCGAGCTCTCTCATTGGATGGCTTGACTCAGGGCGCCGTAAGCAGAACATTTCTGTTGATTTTCTCTGTGACTTGGGGCAATGATATCACCGTAGGATGGGATTCAACAATTGGCAGTTGCGCCGAATTCAAGTTCTGTCAATCAATCATTCATCAATTCATCAATTCATCAATTCGAAATAATTAACTTCAGAAATATAACATAGATATTTCAGAACAAGAGATAGAACTCAATTTTGCAACGATCTTTTTCTCTGAAAAACAAAAATTTAAACATCATGTCAAAAATAGAAATAAATTTCTCATTTAATAATCTTACATGTATATTTTTTGTAAGAAAGAAAAAGTTTAAAAAATTTTCGTGCAAAAAATTAATTTTGTTCTCACTGTTGAGAGTAAAATCAAAGCTTTATGTGTTGTTTTGGATTTGATCTTTTCCATATGTCTTGGTGATTTTAACGTGTATAATTCTAAAATTTTTAAAATAACTATGATAAGACACTTAAATTTAAATTAGTAGTAATCAGGGAAAATAGAGATCATAATTAATTAAGTGATCAAGATTTTAAAACACACAGGATTTGATCTTATTGTAAAGTTATGATCTTTATAAAAGGAATAAAAATTATAAATTCCTGAAATTCCTTAAATTCCTGTCAAACTATATTTCTATCTTTCATTAGGACTGGAAAAAGTTTCGTTAACGAAACGGAGAATTTCTAAAATTAACGGAAGAGTATGTTAACGAACGGCAAAATCGTTTACTTTAAATCGTCAACGAAGCGGATTTGCCATTTTATGAAAAACTAACGGTTGAAAATGAAAACGAAACAGATATATTTTTTAAAACGGTGAATTTCTTTTTTTTTCTGCTAAAAATTTAATGGAACTTGTAAAAAAAATGTACGTGTTTTGATGTTTTTAAATGTTGTCTTCTGTGTTCAAAACCATTAACGTTTTCATAAACAGTCAATGAAATGATGTTGGTGCTTTGCACCGTTAACGCCTGCAATAATAGTACTCTTAATTAACGGCTGTAGCCGTTAACCCTATTCCCGCTGGGGGGGGGGGTCAATTTGACCCCCCCCCTGTAGTTTTTTCTACATAACTCAAAAAGTATTGGTCTGAGGCTGTTGAAATTTTCTGACTTTTCTTACATACCCAAAGCCCTCCCTTTAGGCCTAAAACCGGGCTTTAATACTAACTGCCTGAGTCCTCAGGCACACTGCCTGAATGACTGCTTTTGCCTGTAGCAAACTAAATCTTTGTTTTGACCCACTTTCACTTGTCAGATTTTGATAAAATTTAGCTTTTTGGAAAGCCTATGACATAAGGAAACGGATTGCACAAATTTTGCGAAAAAAAATTGCAAATATTTTGCAAAAATCCTGTCAAAGGAAATTTGCACATTTTTAGTTTTTCTTGATTAAAAATCAGGTTATTAAAAATTTGCAAAAATTTTTGCATATTTGAAATGGCATGGTCAAGGGCTTTTCAAAAATGTATAATTTGTCATTTTTTGGACAAATTTTTTTTTGCAAACATTTTTACTATAAAACTGGATTTTGCGATAAAAAATTCAATTTTCGCAAATTTGCAAATTTTTTTGCAGATTCTAAAAGTAGAGCACAAGAGCTTTCTAATGATGTATCATTTGTCATATTTGGACATAAAACATGGGATTTAGAGGGGGGGGGTCAAATTGACCCCCCCCCAGCGTATCCTGGTTTTCAAGTACCCCAGCGGGGATAGGGTTAAACGGGTGTCGAAAATTTTCCGTGAACGCCATTCATAAAATTAAGATCGCTAACTAACGGTAACTTTTTTAAATTACGGAAAATAACGTTAACGTATCTTTCTATCTTTCTATCATTCCATCTTTCTATCTTTATATCTTTCTATCTTTCTATCTTTCAATCTTTCAATCTTTCTATTTTTCTATCTTTCTATCCATCTATCTTTTTATCTTTTTACCTATCTATCTTTTTTATTTTCTTATATTTCTATCTTCATATCTTTCCATCTTTCTAGCTTTCAGCCTTTCAACCTTTCTATCTTTCTATATTTCTATCTTTTTACCTATCTATCTTTTTATCTTTCTTTCGTTCTATCTTTCTATTCTTCTATCTTTCTATCTTTCTTTCTTTCTATCTTTTTACCTTTCAATCTTTTTACCTTTCAATCTTTTTATCTTGCTATATTTCTATCTTTCTATCTTAATATCTTCCACTCTATCTTTCTACCTTCCTATCTTTTTATCTTTCTATCTTTCTATTTTCCTATCTTTCTATCTTTCTATCTTTTTACCTTTTTACCTTGCTCGGTAGAGAGTATAGAGCCTGATAGCTTCGTGTTTCGATATATACATATTTAGACCTACCAGTTTTTGGTAGAGAGGATAGAGTTTGATAGCTTGATGTGTGGATAGATGCACCCTTAGACCTACCTGTGTTCGGTAGAGGGTATAGAGTTTGATAGCTTTGTGTGTGGATAAATACATACTTAAACTTAACAGGTTTGGTAGAGGTTATAGTGTTTGAAAGCTTTGCGTTTCGATAAATACATACTTAAACCTACCAGGTTCGGTAGCGGGGATGGAGTTTAATAGCGTTGTGTGTGGATTGAGACACACTTTTTTTTGGAGTGTAAGGCATTTATTACAAATGGATAGACAGATAGATTTTCAGCTAGATAGATAGACAGATAAACAACTAGATAGACAGATATATAGAAAGATTGACAGACAGACAAATAGACACCTGTGCAAAGAATTAGCAGAAGATTTATTTGAATTTGTATATGCTGATTATTCTGCAGTGCCGCCATTAAGCTACTATATATATATATCATGTTTTTATAATTTATGTATATCAGGCTAATTCGTATATCTATCCATCTGTCTATCTTCCTATCTACAAATCTATATAATCCATCAATATATGTATTTATTTGAATATCTATCTATTACAGTGGTAAATTATGAATCTAGAAGCCATAGTTTTTTCAACCCGACTTTATAATTCATAAAATAAAATATACGTAAACTATTTTTAAACTAACTGATTGATTGTTTTGATTGTAACTAGTGAGATCCTTAAAACTGTGAAACAGGAGGACACCATTTTTTTAAGACATCAAATCCGTTTAGATGATGTTTTAACCGAAATAGTTTTAACATTAATAGCTAACTGAAAACTGCAACGTTTCATGTTCATTGAACTTTCCAAATCATCACTTTGAGTCTAACTGTCGTCTTTATATTCCAGAGTTGAATGAGTTCAACACTCTCTTTAAACACAGTTTTATAATTGAGCAACCCTATTTAAAGAACAATTTTATAAGATCAATTAAGATGTCTGCATTCATTGCTAGTCTAGGAATGTTTGTTGCAAAATAACCAGGAAAACTTGACATCCAAGAAAGTCAGGAAAAAAATATTTCAAAAAAAGTTCGTAAAAGTTCATTTGCTTGAATAAAATGGAAACACATGAAAGAGATATATGGAACATGGTTTTTCTAAAGGTTTAATCAATGTTTATCTCATTTTCTTTTAAATAGAATATACTTTTCTTATTCCGTTTGAGTGGAAATTCAATACATTAATTACATGAATATCTTTAACTTTGAATGATTTGTGTTCTATTTGTTGTTCCCCATCCAAAATTTAAAAACATGCGAGTTTTCTAGTCGTAAATATACTTTTTCTTCAAAATTTTACTCAACATTTTACAAAAAGTAGGAATTTAAAAATGTTTTCCATTGTATGTTTGAGTTCAAAACACAATTAGTTGTTATTATTTTAACAAACTAAATATTTTTCAGTTGCTGCAGAAATGCACGAAAGTACAAAAATCCGCAGTTAATGAACTGTACTTTAGCTTAAGCCTGTGCATGCTAAATTTATCCATTATCTCAGGCCTATGTATATACTATAGGCCTACACGTGCCGGAGGCTTAGATTGGCCTCTTTTTTGCATTAGAATTCGAAGAGTTGTGCCGTGGAGGCCGGTGTGGCCTAATTCCAGAGAAAAGTCTAGACATTGAACAGCCTTTATCTCGGGGGACAGAGGTTGCGTGATTTTCAGGATATGTACTTTGCTATTTATCTATCTATCTATCTATCTATCTATCTATCTATCTATCTATCTATCTATCCAGGAATATTGATCTGAAAGTATAAATAATTGATTTCACCATTTATCTCTGTCTTTTCTTATCTTCAAATTGATTTTATTTGTCGATCGATTCTCAATAGAAAATACATTAATGATGAACTTTAGAATTTAATCCTCTAGCATTTCTTCTCTTTTTACCATGCTTCTCCTCCTCTCCTATTGCTGACACGGCCATTATTATGTTCTAGCTAGGGAACCCAGCTTTACCTGGAGCCTAGGGTTTCCCCAGAAAAAGTCTACCTACTCAACATTGATAAATTTGTAAACCAAAAACATTTTCGCGGTTCTACCGATACCCTTGGTTCCGTGGATCGTTCGAACGTTCAGAATAAAACGATAGTTTTTTTCTGAACGCACAAATTTTCCAAAAGATTTTATTCGCACAAACTTTTCTTTTTAAATGAAATACAGGGTGTTTTTTCATCTTGTCAATTTTGATTCTTCTCTAATACAGGGAAAACAGAAAATAGATGATTATTCTAAAAGATGTTCAAAGTGTCCGCCCTCCAAACAATGGTCGCTCTTTTCCGGACGTCGGCTCAACTTCCGACTGGGAGGCAGACCCAAAATAATGCTCCGATCTTTTTAAATTTTAAAACAACCTAGGCCTTGTTATAGAGAGGGTTCCCTGGAAATTACAGATAGATCAGTCGAAAATGAGGGCGCAGCTTTAAAAACCTTGCCCCTCTCGACCATGTTGTTACACAACTAAAAAATTAAAAATTTTT